AAAAAAAGTCAATGATGTATTATAAAAAATATTTAGTCTTTATGATTGCCTTCCATTCCCTTTCCCTTTCCTAGGTATAGATTCAACTTTCAAGATTATGTATATAGTATTTAATTACTACAGTATTATATACCGAAAAGCTAAACATAATAAAAGCTAATTAAAGGCTATATGAGATTATATTAAAAAAAAAATGTAATCATTCATAGTATACTAGAGAAAAGAAAATTATAATTTAATAGAAATGATGAAATTTAACAAAAAGGTTATGTTATGTTAGGTGGGTCTACATGCAGATCATTCATATGCGAGAAGCCTGGCTCGTTTTGCTGCAACACTGGGATCGGTTGCTTGGAAAGTCGCATCTCAAACCATAGAACAAGCGTTGCCAGGTGGCGTCAAATATGGGCGCGGATGGGTTGGTGAATACGAACCACTTCCCACTTCAGTCCTAATCATGCCTGGAGACTACACCTTAAAAGATTTTCTACAAGAAAAAACAACAGCAGCTTCTACAAGTAACAATAATAAACCCCCTAAACCTAAATCTGTAAAACATGAGTCTCCTACCCCTAGGGAACCCCCCATTAGACCTCCTTTCTTCAAATTTTCTGCTTCAGACTCATTGGTCGAACTGAACCACCCTCCACCCCCACCCCCACCTGTAATTACAAGAAAACCGGTTCACACCACCGCCTCTGACATCCCGTCACCACCAGTTTCACGAAACGGAAATCTTATGTACTCAAATACTCAGAATGACGGATTTACCCCTGGGAGACCAAATAAAGTAAACACAACACCAGCACCAACAGCAGTTGGTCAGGAACTGCAAGACCCGGTTCAGATGATGAAAATGTTAGCCGAGAGGAGTCAAAATCAACAGAATAACAACTTGAACAGTTTTGGTTTTGACTCAAAGGGGTTGAAAAGGGAGGATCCAAGTGGTAATGCAGCAGCTGCTCAGGCGTGGATGTCGTTAGGTGGGACTGGGACCCACAAACAACAGATACCAGTTGAGTCTTTGTATAGCCGAAATCAAGCTCCTCAAGTCTCACGGTTTCGTGGCGAGCTTCATTTTCAGGGCCAACAACAACAACCGGTTCAGGCGTTTGTCCCTCAACAAGTCCAGGGGGGTGGGGGTCATCTTCAAAATAGACACATGGGTTTGGGTTTCCCTCAGTTAGTCACTGCTGACCTGTCGAGGTTCCAGATGCAGCCTAGTTGGAGAGGGGTAGGGGTTAACCCACAGCAGTTGAGACCAAAGCAACAGGAATCATCCACATGTCCACCAGATCTGAATATAGGCTACCAGTCATCTCCTGTGAGACAGTCTACTGGTATGCTGGTGGACTCTCAGCAACCTGATTTAGCTTTGCAGCTCTAAAAATCTAATAAAACAACACAAACCTTGCTTTGCTTGGATGTTTATCTGCTAATGCACCACCATCAACCATGCATCGCATCCAATCAGAGTTAGGTGACTTGGTGGTGCGGATGGAAATGTGAAGTAGAAAGTAGAGTTGGATAGTTATAGATGGGGTTGGTGTTGGTTCATGGATGGATTATGGATAGATGGGGGAGATGATTAAGTTGTTAATTGTTATATATATATATATATATATATATATATATATATATATATAATTATATATAATATAATATATATATATATATATATATATATATATATATATATATATATATATATATATATATTATATATAGTTGTATGCTGCTTTGTATTTGATTATTTTCATCATGGGGTTTATAACAGGTTTCATGTTTGAATATCCCGCGGATTATTATTGATTTCATATCAAGTCATCATGTCATGTTTGTAATTGTAGGTCGGAAGCTTGAATTTTGGCCTGGAGGAGTTACTTATAAGGTTGGGTACACCTCATTTCCATCCATTTATGGAAAATATCGACTATGGAATATATTGATTCCTTTTCTTTTTTGTACCGATTTACTACTTCATTAACTGTTAACGATCATTAAGGATCCGATAACCTTTGATAAATTTTGACTGTTATATGCTAACTAAGCAACCAATAACCTTAGCCAATCTGTTTGCTAAGATTTTTGCGGTCATCTTGTATTGCATTCCATTTAAAGTAATACGACGAAAATCTTGAATGATAATTAGATTAGATACCATCAGAATCAGAGCAACAAACGTAGACTTATAATCGGCTTGATTGTTACGGTCTTCAAAAAATATGTCACAAACCCCATAATATCATCCTTTATTCTCCCTATATATATATATATATATATATATATATATATATATAATATATATATATAATATATATATTAATATATATATATATATATATATATATATATTATATATATATATATATATATAGGGGAGGGTTCAATTGAGAAAAAAAAAAGTTGAGAATGGAAGAATTATTTTCAGCCAATCATTTATTTTTGCCGTAAAAGGTTCCAACGTACCGTGGAAATAGGAAACAATGCACATGTGTTTTCCAACATAACATATTTCCTTAAACTATGCTAATCATTACCTTAATATATACAAAAACATAATTTTTTTCGTTTTTTTTTTTAAATTTTTATAAGCTATTTTTATCAAAATATTATTTTAAATATACCAAAATTCATGATTTTTTATTCACTACAAATAGACATCCATATTGATATAGTTTTAAGATTATATATATATATATATATATATATATATATATATATATATATATATATATATATATTATATATATATATATATATATAATATTTTCAGCTATCGTTATTCATAAATGAATAACAATGCATCAGGTTTTATTACAGTACATTCGTTATTCACTTATGAATAAAAAGTATGATTTTTTTTTTTTTTTTTTTACAATTTAAGTATCATTCATATATGAATATAACATATAATAAACATAGTATATTCATATTTTAATATTGGATGATGAATTCACTTGTGAATATTAACATAGTATATTCACTTGTGAATATTAGATGGTATATTCACTTATGAGTATTAAATGATATTTCATATGTGAATATTAAATACTATTACATGGTATATCACATGTGAATATTACAGAGTATATTCACTTGTGAATATTAGATGATATATTCACTTTTGAATATTACACAGTATATTCACATATGAATATTACAAGGTATATTCACTTATGAATATTGAAGGTATTTTGATAAATATATATAATTTTTATATGTTATTCACATATGAATAACATACAGACTTGCATATTTGTTTTGTGTTTTTAATAATCATATACTGATTCAGGTGAGAAAACATATTCATATGTGAATATAACGTGGTAATTTAGTTTATGCATTTCATCAAACAGTTAGAGTGCAAACAAGTTAACTATTTTAAAAATGTTAAAAACATCAAGTTATCAATTCCAAATCATCATATACTTCCGATTTCGACTTCAGATGCGACATCCTATCTCTGATCGATTTCTCAATTTGATTTTGATTTCCGAAATCCGATTGGGAACCTATGAGTACCGATTCTAAGTCCATCAATGTCGACTGTGATTGCGAGTCCAGAACTCCGATTCCAATTTCATGAACAGCGAATAAATTCCGGTTTAGTTGAAGAAATCTGGATGATTATTGAAGGTTGGAGGAAAATTTTTGATGATGAACGAAAAGTTATCAAATTCTCTATAGTTACGTATTTGAGATTGAAGGTTATTATGATATTTACAAGTTTGCCACCGTGTCTTTTATGCTTAGATTAAATGAGTGGCTGGGAATGATTCCCCCATTCTCAACCTTTTTTATTTTATCAATTGAACCTACCTCTCTCTCTCTCTCTCTTATATATTATATATATATATATATATATATATATATATATAATATATTATATATAATATATGTATATATATATATATATAATATATATATATATATATATATATATATATATATATATATATATAGACTTAGATTATTCTATTCAAGGTAATTATTGTGTTATTGTATGCATAAATATGGACCAATCAATTTTACTTATTTTAATAAAGTGAATAATACATATTATTAAATTAAAGATAATTAGAAAATACCATTTAAATTCATTTTAATGATATTTTAGTCAATTAATATATATATATATATATATATATATATATATATATATATATATATATATATATATATATATTGCATATTTTAAGGGATAATAGATTCTATTAATTTAAAAAATTTGATTGTAGTGATGATAATTCTCGGATATTGCTAGAATATATTCATCAAAAATTAAAATATTCTTGAACCGTAAAATAATAAAAATATTTTTGAACCTATTTCTTGATCATAACTTTAAAAACGTTTTGGAGAATAGCAAATTCTTGAACCATCAATTGAAGAATAAAAACAAACATTATATTAATTCTTATAGAATACAGGTAACAATTGCTAAGAATTACATTTATTGTTAAAAAATAAAAACTAAAAAAACTTTTAAATCGGGAAAAAAACATCAAAATCTAACCAAAACACTAATATATTCTAAAAGAATAATGTTGATAATAATCACTTTCAATTTTATGGTTCATTCTTCAAACATCAGTTGCTTCTAGAGGAAACAAATCCAATGCACAAATCAGTGAGAAAATATTCATATTCAATTCCAACATAATTGGAATTCGTGATTACATTTTGATAGAATTGGAATTCAATAGTCAGTTACGGTATGCATTATGTTGGAAAAATATCCAAAGTAAAATACAATTTAATGAGAATGATATTGTTAGATATTCCAAGATAGAAACTCATTCATTTTCATCAGCAACATCTAACTCTCAAAGTTCAGAAATTAGTTGATTTCGGCTCTCAACCACTTGTAGAAGTAAAATCCCAATTTAAGGAGCTGTTTGTTTTTTATACTAATGACGAAAATATCCCTACAACACAATATTCATAAAATTCATAGAAGTCGCCCAAAGTGTTCACAACATCAACTAATCACGACCAAAGTGTTCACAACACTAAAGAGAGTACTGTAACATAGCCATTGTTTTGAAACCCAAATATTTCAGTAACCCAACTAAAAACTCAACTCCTGTGTTAACAAAACACATTATGTTTACACGTAGGCGAGTTTTCTTGATAGGATCTGGATACAGGAAACAAAAAGATTAGAGCTTTATTAATCAAGATTCTGAACAATCAATCTACATTGACAAATAAAAGATTTCAAACAATACGCTAAAAGAATACAACTTTATAGATCTAAGATTCTGAACTCCAAAAAGTACAAACAGAAAACCACAGACCAACAAAAGTAAATCCCAAGGGAAATAGAGAAATCAGCATTTGTGAACTACAAGAATTCAAGACAATTTTGAATTTTTATGTTAACAAAACAAATTATGTTTACCTGTGGGCGGTGATGTGGGCGGCGACAGGAGATGGAGAAACGCTGATGTCGGTTGTGGAGTAGTATCGATGGTGGTCGTGGAGTATCGCAGTAAGTGGATGAAGCATTGGTGGTCGACTGGTCAGGTGATAATCGATGAAGCAGGTATGGATCGGCGATGGAGAGGAGGAGTGCCGGTAAAAGGTTCGCCGCCACAGATGGAGCAGCGATGGTGAAATCTTGCCTCGCCTGAGATAGAGCAACATCGACGATGGAAGGAGGCAAGGGAATGGAGATGGATTTGAAGCAAGGAATGACGGTGAATAGGGTATTGTTTTGAGTTCATGAGAAGACGATAGATAGATGATGAGTTAGGTTAGGTTAGCATTGGGTGGAAGATTGAGGAAGACGCGTTTATTTATTTAGGTTAAAATCCAATACCATGATTATAGGGATTATTTTTGGAAGTCACTAAACAAATTACTAAATTACCCTTATTGTAACGATGAGATTTTCAAAACAAAATTTTCATTTTTCAACACCTAAATTTATATAAAAATATTCTCAAAAGTATTCAACAATAGTTATCAAAACATAACATATCCCAAGATCACAAAATCAAATCCCTTCTCTAGTGTGTACGGGTCACGACGACGCCTTTCCACGGTCCTTGCTAGTACCCGAAACACATAACACAACAACTGTAAGCATAAATGCTTAGTGAGTTCCCCAAAATACCACATACAACACATACGCCACTCGAGGCTAATGTACGACCGTCCGGTCGATGTGTCTCAGTGGGACCCTCCAGTCCTGTAGCTCGTTGGGCCCTCCGGCCCGGTCTAAATCTTTGGATCCTCTGGTCTGTATCGTTGGATCTTTCGGTCCGGTCTACACAATCATATAACATACAAATATCACATAGCACATAGATTCACATAATCTCATACATAACACATAAGACCTTCCGGTCCACATAAATACCACTCTAGGTAACGTATAGTGAGAAGACTCACCTCGTGTAGCTCGGTAATTCGTAAATCTCAGAAATCTCGGACTCCGTGGGATAAGATCTAGCCTCCGCCTAATCATATAAAATAACACTCAACATCAACACATTTCCCAAGGCTAGACCATTCCCTCTAATCACTCTCAGGAAGGTAAAAGACCATTTTACCCCTTACTTGGCTCAATTACACTAAAGTTGACCAAACCCTAAAAGTCAACAAAAGTCAACCCTCCGGGTTACGCTGCACGTACCAAACGTGTACGCTGGGCGTACCCGGAGCCTTCACAGAATCGGGGTCGCGGCCCCTTACGCCGCGCGTACTGGGATTACGCCCAGTGTAATACCCAGTTTCCTTATCCATCTCATTCAGGTCTTAATTGGGTAAGGCTTGCATTCAAAATTCAGATCTAATTCCTCTAATATGACTAAATCCATAAAGTTGAAACCTTTAAGCCTTTGCATGGCTGTAAAGGTCATTTTTATGCTCAAAACACCTTTCCTCTTTCCATAATGAGACTATAACTCATGCATGACACAAGATCCGCGTCCAAGACTGGATTTTTATGAATCCTCAACACAATATACACTAGAAAAGGTCAGATCTAAGCTCATGGAG